GCCACACGGCCGTGTGGCCTGCCCGTGTGATCGATATTTTCTGGTTTTTACCCAATTTCGGGCCACAAGTGAGAGAATCGATTTTTCAGAGCAAAAACAGAGCCCTAGAGAGAGAAAGTGCGAAGAACACATCCTAAAAGCAATCTTGGAGCTGGGTTTCATCAAATCAAGCTTGGAGATCGTGATAGGAATGGAAATCATCATCCCAGAGCAGATTCTTCCCATTGTTATGAGTATGACTGCTTTGTATTCTGTTTTCCTCTCTCTCTCTATGGAGTAGAACCCTTCTCTCACTTGGGTATGAAGAACCCTAGTTCCATGTGTTAGGGATTTGATTGTAATGACTTGGGATGATTATACTGTTTGGTTTTAATCGAATGATGCATGTTTCATTGAATTTATTGAAGTTTGATCAGCTTTTCTTGATTTCTACTGCAACTTGAGATAGATAGAATCTGACTAGGTTGTTAGAGCCTCATCATTCGGTAGTAGGAGATTGGCTATACGAGAGTTAGCCAGTTTACTGCTTTGTACTGGAATCCAATTCCAGTAGTGGAGCTTTGTGCTTATTGCTTCAGCTTTCTACCCCGGTGAAGACTAGTCGTCTGCCGGGTAGTTAGACTGAGAGGGCTTTGTCAGCTTAAGAGATTCCAAGCTGCTGTCGGATCTTCCGCAGTCTAATCAACAGTTAATCAACCCAGGGAAATTACAATTGAGACCTAACTTAGGAGCTAGGGGGACTCATTCCCGAGTGACTCTTCCTTGCTTTAGAAAATCGAACCAATTCCTGCTTTCTTTCTGCTTTTAGTTAAGACAAAAACCAATCGACTTAGTTTGCTAGATAATAGATAATCACGGAGTAGGCAGTAGATCTAGACCCTGGGTTGATAATAGAACTTGCCACTTTACTGCATTCCCGGACTGCGATTACACTAGGTCGCAGTTTGGTGTTGTGTTTTAGCCTGTCAGCGAGTGATTATGCGGTCAGAGCAGTTCTGGGTCAGAGACGCGAGAAGCACTTCCAGCCCATCTATTATGCGTCAAAGACCTTGAACGATGCACAGGAGAATTACACCACCACTAAAAAGGAGCTACTCGTTGTGGTGTATGCATTTGATAAGTTTCGACCATATCTGGAGCTCTCCCATGTGGTGGTCTACACAGATCACTCGGCAATTCGCTATCCGATGAGCAAGGCTGATGCAAAGCCTAGGCTCATCCACTGGATCATGCTTCTGCAGGAATTTGATATCGAAATCCGGTACAAAAAGGGAGCAGAGAATGTTGCTGCAGATTATCTATCACGGTTGGAACCCCTCCGGTGGACAACTTCATGGAAGAGATCGATGACTCCTTCCTGGGTGAGCGATTGTTGGCGATGACATTGGTGGACAGCGTGGCCCCTTGGTATTCTGACTTTGCCAATTATCTAGTGGGCAAGCAGCTACCAAAGGGGATGGCCACTCATGCAAAGCGCAAGTTCTTCTCCGACCTAAAACATTACTTCTGGGAGGATCCTTACCTCTTCAGGATCGGAGCAGATGGTGTGATCCGGCGCTGTGTCATGGAGCACGAGATGGGAGACATCCTGTCTCAATGCCACGAGGGACCTACTGGAGGTCACCATGGAGGAAACCGCACGGCGCGGAAGGTGCTACAGTCGGGCTTCTATTGGCCTTCACTCTTCAAGGATGCAGACACCTTCGCACGACAGTGCGACCGCTGCCAAAGGTCAGGTAACATTTCTTCCCGGGATGAGATGCCCCAACATATATCTGTCGTTTGCGAAATTTTCTATGTTTGGGGCATCGATTTTTTATGGGCCCATTCCATCCATCTTTTGGCAATTTGTACATACTTGTGGCAGTGGACTACGTCTCGAGGTGGGCAGAAGCTCAAGCCATGCCCACCAATGATGCAAGATGGGTCTGCTCATTTCTGAAGTAGTTGTTCTCCTGGTTCGGGACACCGCGCGCCATCATAAGTGATAGAGGAACCCATTTTCAAGGGCAATTCACTAACCTCCTCTCTCGCTATGGTGTTAAGCATCAGGTGTCGGTGGCCTACCATCCCCAAACAAATAGCCAAGCCGAGCTGACGAACTGGGAGTTTAAACGAATAATTGAAAAGACGGTGGATCAGTCCCACAAGGATTGGTCCACCAAGCTCGATGATGCTCTCTGAGCATATAGGACAGCCTACAAAAAATCGATTGGTACTTCACCCTATAGGCTTGTCTATGGGAAGGCATGTCATTTGCTAGTAGAGCTAGAGCACAAGGCCTTCTGGGCCCTTAAACTGCTAAACCTGGATTTGAGTGTTGCAGGTGCTGAACGTAAGCTACAACTGCTGGAGTTGGAGGAATTGCATTACCACGCCTACGAAAACACCATGATCTACAAGGAGCGAACCAAGCGTCTCCACGACGCTCGGTTGAGGGGCTCGAAGGAGTTTCACGTAGGAGATCGTGTCCTGCTCTTCAATGCACGCCTGAAACTCTTTCCGGAAAAGCTATGTTCGAGGTGTTCGGGACCCTTCACGGTCACCCAAGTATTCCCGCACTGTGCGGTGGAGATCAGCAATGCTCAAACTGAGTCGTTCAAAGTGAATGACCACCTCTTAAAGTTGTACCTGGGAGGTGGTGTCGAGCGCGCAGAGCTGCTGATCAAGCTTGAGGACCCTTAGTTCCTCTACTGGCGTCCAGCTAAAAGAACGTAAAGAAGCGCTTGTGGGGAGGCAACCCCACCATGGTTTGCATTTCTTTCCCTTTTCATTTTCGATTTTGTCAGTTTTTGAGTCCTTGTGTCTGTCTGGAGTCTGTCTGGAAAGTATTTCGTGCCCTGGGCGGTCTGTTTTAATCTGTGGCTGGGTATTTTTCGAGCAGGGGCACGCTTGAGTTTTGGTTGCTTGAAATCGTGATTTTGAAAAAGTGCAGAGGGAGGCTCGGCATAAAAACACGGGAGCCAGGGGAGAAAAACACGGTCGTGTTTCCTCCCTTGTCCGCCCTTGTTTTTCCCAATTGTAGAACACCCTCTCGGCATAAAAAAAACATGGGCGCCAGGAGTCAAAAACACGGCCGTGTTTTTACCCCTGCCCGCCCGTGTTTTCAAAGGGGAGGAGCACGCCCTCGGCGTAAAAAAACACGGGCGCGGAACACGGAAAACACGGTCGTGTTTCCGCCCGCTACATCATCCATTGACCACAATGCATTGATTAAAGGGGTTGTTTGGAGGTTGGGATTCTCCAAATTGAAGTATTTAATAAATTTGCGTATTGTAATTTGATGTATTGATTAAATGTATGAATTTGAATAATACATCGTTTGGAGATTTACATTGGGCTTTGTTATAAATGAAAAAGTAGAGGGTAGACAATCCCTTGATCACAATCTCACATTTTGGTTGAGATTGATAATCACTAATTTTGAGTGATTGTGGGTGGACCCAGAAAAAGATAATGTGTATTCTGTCACAAATTTAACCAAAAAAAATGACTTAATCTTGACATTACATGGCTAAACACATGGCTTGAAATCCCAACCTCCAAACCACCCCTAGATTAGTATATCACCAAAAGGACCTATATGTTTCAACCATTAAACACTATTAAAAATTGTCTAACGCTTTAAATCCCGGTGGGAAGTTCGTACCATTTTACGCACACGGTTTTAAAGCCGAGAAGCCACTGAAGGAAAAAATCCTAAGTTACACATGTTTTTAAAAAAAAATTCTCAAAATACACATGTTATGAAAATAATTCCCAATCTACACATGTTTGGGCCTTCACCGCGTCAGAGAAGGGCGGTGATTGCTTCACCGCGTGAGACTAAAACGGTGATGTATTCACCGTTTCAAACTAAAACGGTGATTGCTTCACCGCGTGAGAGAAAAACGGTGAAGCACTGAACTACGTCCAAACTTTAAAACAACGTAACTTTGTGCTCGGTTATCCGATCGTAGCGAATTTTTTTTTGATTCCGCATAATTTTTCGAGATCTTGCAAGCCGCAAACCGCCAGAGGCGGTTTGGTCCCGCCTTCGTCTCGAAAAAATGTCGTTTGCTACCCCGAACGACCCTTTTTCGATTTCGTCAAACTTTGAACGACCATAACTTTGTGCTCCACAATCCAAAAATCATGAATTTTTTTTTGATTTCGCATAACTTTTTAAGGAATACAATTTTTATCATAGACATAATTTCGGAATGCACTTGGATTCATGAAAAGGGAAGGTAAAGTTATTCCCAAAACCCCTTATATCCATAAATAATTCATTTTTTGAAAATTCTCTCCTACTAAAAATTGTAGTCCTTAAAAAGTTATGCGGAATCAAAAAAAAATTCATGATTTTTGGATTGTGGAGCACAAAGTTATGGGCGTTCAAAGTTTGACGAAATCGAAAAAAGGCACGTTCGGGGTAGCAAACGACATTTTTTCGAGACGAAGGCGGGACCAAACCGCCTCCGGCGGTTTGCGGCTTGCAAGATCTCGAAAAATTATGCGGAATCAAAAAAAAAATTCGCTACGATCGGATAACCGAGCACAAAGTTACGTTGTTTTAAAGTTTGGACGCAGTTCAGTGCTTCACCGTTTTTCTCTCACGCGGTGAAGCAATCACCGTTTTAGTTTGAAACGGTGAATACATCACCGTTTTAGTCAAAAACGGTGAATACATCACCATTTTAGTCAAAAGCGGTGATGACCTTCACCGCTTTTGTCTAAAACGGTGATGCTCAAACATGTGTACTTTTGGAATTTTTTTTATAACTTATGTATTTTGGGAATTTTTTTTAAGAACTAGTGTACTTTGGGATTTTTTCCCCAAATAATGGTTTAATGTAGCATAACGGCCACCAAATCTCACAATATACCAAGTTGTCACTTACCTTCAATGGCGGCTCCATTATCCCTTCTTAGTGTTAAGAATGTATGGTTAATGTCACTAAACACAATCCATTAACAATCTAAAAAGCGAGCAACAACCTAAATTAGACAGTAAAAACATTTTTCTTTCAATTTTATTATAAAATACATGTCAAATTCCAACATCGATCGAAAGTAGAAAAACGTTAAAGATTTGGTTTACTCTCTTTTCTTACCGTAAGTTTCTTTACAACTACGTAACTCCTATGAACAAGAGAACTTTCCGCATTATCATCATGAAAACAAAAAAGAGTATGAAAAAAAGATTAAGAGGTGAATATGGCAGGTATGAATGCAAATGAAAAAGAGGAGTCCAAGGTGGTTTTTTTCGATTGAATTCAAGGGTCGCGAAATTTAAGCTGGGGAGTCCATTTGAGGTGCAAGAAAAGCTTCCCAGATTTTGCACCATCCACCGGGAACGAATCCTGGAACTCCCCTTCCATCAATACTCTAGTCAGCGTCATTATCACTCTTCCAATTTTGTCCTGCCCCACAAAAGAACAAGGGTTACAACACCACGAAGCACGTTACTTAACTTTACTTCCACGGCAACCAACCGAATAATGAGATCGATCATCAACTGAAAAGAGTAATTACAGCACACAAGCAAACATCATATTACCTTTCCAAAAGTGTCATGATCCCACACCTCCAGCATCAGCATCTCATGGAGTGCATCTTCCACGACGAAGTCGAACGTCTGGTTCCACACAGGATTCAAGCTCTCTTGCACGACCTGACCAGGGGGAAAACCATGATTATGGAGGAGTGATGGGAATTGTATGTAGGTTGAAGTTTCTGCATTTTTTATTGCTTACCCTGGTTTTGGCTCTTGCGTCGGATTTCTTCATGATGAGGACAACATAAGGATCGGCCTTCCCCATCACATCCACCGCCGGCAAGTCCTCGGCGGCCACCACATTCACTGAGAGAACTCCTCTCACGATCACATTCTTTCTAGATGCGGCCGAGGCGAGGCTTGGCTCCTCGCCAGCTTCGTTCCCGCCCTTGATCGTCTTCTCTAACGTCGTCAGTTGGAAATCCGGGTTGAATGGGTTCTTCAAGCTGCTGTCCATCCCATAAGGAACGTATAGCAGCTCCAGATGCACCTAAATCAGGATTATTACTTAGGGTAATCATTATTAAGAGCTTAATTAATCAATGTTTAGATTAACACTGAGGTCAATTATTAACATACCTCTCCTCGGTACTTGTTGTCTCTCTGGATGTTCAAATCTTTGACCAGTTTCAACCAGACGTCCTTGACTTTACCAGGCTCGAGATCTTTCAACGCCACCTGAGCACAGCCAATGAGTTCAGCCGCCGAAATCCCTTCATCGTCGAACACTCTGACCGTCAGATGCTGAGTGGATGCATCCTCGACAACGAACTCGAAGTGCTCGTTCCAAATGGGGTTCAATTGGTTGTTCTGGAAAGAAATGGGGATTAGTATTTTTTACTTACTGACAAGGATCCACAACGAGGAGGGCAAAACAAGTGTTGTTATGGTGCTTTCTTACTATAACTTTGCTGGTTTTCGTTCTGTCACGCAGTGGACGGATGAATACAACGGCAAAAGGGTCTGATTTCCCGATGACGTCCTTGTTTGATAGCTCTTTGGCTTGGACTAGTTTCACATCCAGTATTCCTTCTGGCTTAAGCTCCAAGTCACTGCAATGTGGGCAAAAGTTTGGTAATCTTTCTTCAAGGGGTTATCAGTTATTCATGAGGATTTATAGAAGGTACATATAACTTTCGTACTCGTAGTCACCAGGCAGAATTGGTACGATTTTCCTGACTGGCCATGTGATGGAGTCTTCAATGGCGTCCTTTATAGTTTCCTGCACAAAAATGATCGAATCTTTAATAACTGGTTTTTGCATAAATATGACACCAAAGTACCAGAAAGGATTAAGGAACTGACCTCAATAGCATCAGATAACCCGGGTATTGATGATATCTCGCCTCCAATTACTTTAAGCCTAAAATCTAATTGTTTCTGCAGATAGAAACATAGGGAGGAAAGCAAACATGTTGAAATCTGCTGCTATGACTGCTCACATTTATGCTAGTCAGGGAAAACCAGGCAGACTCACCTTTTCCCTTAGTGAATAAGAAATAGCTGCAAAACCAGGGAACTCGGGAACAAGTGGCTTGAAGATTAACCTGAAAACCCCAGTGAATCCAATATCTTTTACCTATATGGAATTACAACACCGAAAAAACAAACAGAAATGAACAGATAATTTGGAAAAAATAAAGGACAGAGAACAGACAATTCTCAATCTGAATCTTGAAAATCAATGTTCCTATCTTGAGATGGAAGCAACTACAGCTTAGAAGACAAGGGAAGTAATAGCAAACTACATCAACATACATGCTATACGTAATTCGATCCTCCGGTGGACATCATTCAGGAATTCACCATTGTTTACATCATTCATGATCTTAAGAGCTCTCAGCTACCCAAGTTATGGACTTGGAGTACGAAGGTAAGTTAAAAAGGAGAGTGAAGAATACCTGTATAGGAAGAGCAACACCAACTCTAGTGTTGATATCAAGCACAATATTAGGATTGCCATCCCATTGCATCTCTAACTCCATTGTCACACCTCCTGAGCCACTTTCCTCTTCAACTATGCTAATTCCTGGTTAGCAATCATAGCTCTGCTCAGTCACACACCAATCGAATCGAGTTAAATCAATATCCACGAGAGGCAAACGAACCTGTGAACTGGGGAGCTACAGTGCCAAGAGTCAACTTGGAGAACTTGAGAGATGAGAGAATAGCTGGTCTATACTCTTCCAGAATCGGCTCCACATTGTTCTTTATCAGTTCCGACGCTGCCTATCCAGCAAAAGAAGAGAAAAATGGGAATCCGTTTCGAAACTTCATGGAAAACGCAATCAATGTGCTTACCGCATCGACGTAGGGCCAAATCTTGTCTAGCTGGTGATTAAGCCAATTCAACTGCAATTCCATAACAGTTGGGAAGCAAAATGTCAGAGCTCTGGATTCACAACAATGGCAGATACACGTAGTATTAGTTACTCACCTTCTGTCTATTAGAGAATACTACCCACGACGGATAAAACTCCGCCGGGAGAATTTTCCGAGAGTCCTGTACCGTCATTCTCGCAAACGCTGCCACCGTCTTCGCCTGACAACACCAAGGAATTAGGGTTAATTAAAAATCCAATGCCATTACGCCGCAGAAAAAATAAGGCAAACGGAAATCGGAGAAATATACCAAGGCGGAGCGGCGAGCGGATCGGACGGACTCGTAACGAGCTAAAGCGACGATGAGACCGATCCCAATGGACACTCCGACGAAGAAACCGAAGAAGAAAGACATCGTCGTCGTCCTTCTGTTTCCTCAGGTGGTTTCGTCTGAAAATTCTTTCCACGATAGTTTTCCGGCGGATTAAGCGTCTCATTTACGCCGTGAGGGAGGAAGGGACGCTCGTGATCAGAGAGCGGGAGAAGAAGCAAGAGCCATTGGTGAATCGCCGTTTGGCAACGTGTGATTGGGCGACGGAGTCAGAGGAGATCACGAACGGTTGGTCATGGTAGACGCAGTACGGACGTGGAGGAGTTACAGAAGAGGAACAATTTGCCAAAAACGGGTGCTCTGTTTTATGATTGTGTGGGCAATTAAGCCGCTCTTAGAAAACTGGGGGTGGTTTAATAATCTAATTAAGGATCCGTTTCTTTTCCATTCTTTCTTTATCTTTTGAAAGGCCCTTTTATCTTTTTTTCAAATCAGCACAAGGTCGGGCCGTTGGCCGCCAGAATTTTATCGAGAAATATGATATATAATAATGCATATAATAGATGATTTGAAATATATGAAATGATTGTTTCCTACTTTAGTTATGCAAATAACATTTTTGAAAGTGCTTTTTTTTTTTTTTTGCCCGAGTAATATCAGAAAGAAAGTTAGAACAAACACTACCCAAACGCCCTCCCCACCCCGCTAACAAACCAACCTACAAAGTCAAAAGAAGCTAACTCTAGCCGAGACAGCAACAGGGCTTTACGCGCCACTCTATGGGCAGTGTTTAGACCTCCATGAAAAGATAGAAAAATATATAATATAAGCATTTATAATTATTAAATGAAAATAATATATATAACTAATTGTCATTTATTGCTTAATTAAACCATATAGTTGAATATTAGAATTGCTTCTCATAATACAAACATAATCATTATCGCTAACTGACTTATGCTTTTTTTTGCTATAAATAGATCAAAATGTGCCTTAAAACTTTTTTTCCCGTTGAATGTGCCTTAAAACTTTTGTTTCCACCAGTGTAAAAGAATTTTGTTGGAACCAAAGGATTGTAAAATCGTCTCCAAAAAGTTGATAGTAGAGTATTTTATACTGAAATCATAATTTAACAATGGTTCAACTGTTTCATATTGATAAATATCACCTATCGATTTAGCCTATGATGTGAAGTTTTATTGTCGAACCGCCAGTACATACGATCTTTCAATTCAAACTTTAAATAAAAAATCACAAAAATATTGACATTATCAAATACCCCTCAAACCTAAGAAATTACCATAATCGTATAAGGAAAAAAATAATCCAAATGATAATATTGATTTAGGATTTTAGATTGAAATTGAAATTGAAAAAATCTGTCAAATATAATGTGTGTATTGATCTGATTGGGTCTTCACCTTAGACTCAGACTGGGATGACCGAATTTGTGCCGGGACGGGTTGTTGCGGATGCTGCTCGGCGAAAGTGTGCTAAGTATTAGGACTTGTGCACGACGACTGGTTACGGGTTCCTGCCCTTTTCTTTCTCTTCGTTGAGGGATCTGGATACGGATGACATGGCTTTGCTTAAGCGCATCCAGAAATTCTCCGTGTCTCAAGATGCGGGGGCTCGGGCGGCCGCGTATATTTTCACTAGACTTAGTTTTGTTGTCGCTAAGGGAGGGGAGGCCAGATTGTATCTAGGCTTCCTACTAATTTCATGTAGACCTTGATAATCTGTTATTTTTATATGTTTATATAATATATTCTACTAACATAAATCAAAACTCAACAGAAGAGGGTCAAGAATACTCACTAAGTAAAGAAGAAATGCAATTATTTCACACTATCTCATTCCCCCTCCCCTCCCCCCCCCCACCCCCACACACACACCTCTTTTAAGTGTGTTCTCTCGCTCTCTCTTAACCGTCCTCTTTGTGTTTTTTCGTTTGTTCTTCCAACTCTCTCTCTAATTTTTGTATCTCACCACTCTCCCCCTTTCCCTTCTGCTTTCTTCCCACCGCCTAGAATCGATAGAAACCTAGAAACATCCCAATTACTTCTCCAATTTTGAGTTCGAAATGTTTTTTCTTCATTCACAGTCGATTGTGTGAATCAAAGCACCTGAAACCTGGCGAACAGATGGCCGTTTATTCCTTTACGGAGCAAAGTAGTTTGATAGCTTGTGAATAAACTAATTACCAAAAGCGATAAAAACATAATCTGAGCCTTCACACGTTTGAAAAAACTACTCATTAATTCAAATTTTATATATTAATTTTAGAATTTTTATTTTATTTTTATCAACTAGCGCATTTCTCCATAAAACATGAGTTCACCAAACTCGAGCCTTTGAAGTTTAAGTCTGGTATATCCCATGAAGCATTAATGTTTGTACAGGGCCGATCCATATACATTGTCTTCATGGTATGCTCTAACCGTGTCATGTTAACTCGACCATGTGCCTAGGTATAGTTATATGCATTCTAATAATTAAGTTTCTATCTATTCACAACACCAAGATAAAAAAAACAGTCATAAATGCATCTAGTGTTCGATTTTGACTACCTGATAAAATACTACATTTGAACCAACTACCACCGATGTCACAAATAATAAGTATACCTCTAAAGCATACATATAATATTTCAAACATCACAAATATTAAGATTAAATTAATTATTATAAAGAGTAAAAATTGTATAATGAGGTTAATTATAACTCATTTATATGTTAATGCCCTTAAATTCATCAACACATCCAAAAATGGAGAAATGAACATCACATTAAACCCAATACATCTGATTATTGTCTGGTCCATTAATGCCAGATTAGCAAAAGGTTTAACGTTTAGCAGTTAACTCGACTAAAATTTATAGAATCAGTCACCTATTGTTTGTACAAAACATTATTGCTTCATAGTAGTTCTGAAAATTTATATTAATTTAAAATTCTACATCGCTTTTGCATATTGAATACTGCAATTCGATATGCAATATTTCAAGCATTGAAATTTGTGTTGCAATTATAAGATTACCCGTCATTTTATAGGTTATAAAAATTATAATCACGTATTAAACTTTTCTTTTCAGAAGATTTAATAGGCTAGCTAACCGTGATGGAAAAGTCCTCTGCGTTTCAAATCTTCGTGTAGTGTATGTTTACAATTTAACAAGATAAAAAAATTTATTTAGTGTAATTGGCTGTGATTATTGTTTTTGTTTGAAGATACCATGGTTCAAATCTTGATATTGATACTTTTTTTATAGGAAGTAGATAAATAATTGTGATGACAAAAATACTCTTCCTACTTTCACTCTTGTTTCAAGAAATTTGAAATAGAAAATCTTAAAACATCGAATATATCTTACAGAAAGAGCTTCTTCAACCAAGTAGGTATTTTACCTGAAATTATTATATCGTATAGAAAGTGATGAATTGTGAAATCGAAACTCAAGTAACATTGATTCAAACATTAAACATTAAATTGTATGTGTAGTTCAGTTTAGACAAAAAATTTGTCTAAACTGAACTATGTGTAGCCAAAACATGGATCTTCGTGACAAATATAGTAATTTTTTGGGTAAATACAATATATTAGCCACAACTATTCTGAAACGGGGAATTATAGCTACAACTATGGAAATTCAAATTCTTAGCCAAACGTTAACTCTTTGTTAACAATTCCGTTAATAATGCTGACTTAACTTTTTATGTTTTAAAATTATAAATTAAAAGCAGTCCGACGTGGCTGCTGCCGTGGTCGATGACGTGACTTTCTCCGTTAAAAATTCAATAATAGTAATGGACAGTTAGCCATATATTGACCCGCAACAATTATGGCTAATAATTTGATTTTACATTGTTGTGGCTATAATTCCCCGCTTTATAATAGTTATGGCTAATATATTGTATTTACCCTATTTTTTTTAACAAATCTACACATAAATATAAAGATAAATTGGGCGCTGTGATGAAAAAGAAGTTCGTAGAATCACTCTCAAGCCACGAAATTTGAAATGAGACTCTCATTCTCTACTTTTATCGTTATATTATGTGTAGATTTGTCACAAAAAATGACTATACTCGTCACAAAGGTCCATGTTTTGGTTACACTTCTGTATTTTGAATCAATGTTACTTGAGTTTCGATATCAGAACTAATCTCTTTCTATAAAATATAAATAACTTAAGATAAAATATAAATATATAAACATCGCCAACAAACATATTCCTAGAATTTGATCAAAGAAATAATATAAAATATAATATAGCCTAGTTGGTTATAATGTTCTTTCTTCATTTAAGTGATAAAGGTTCAAACTCCAATGATAACATTTTTAATACATAAAAATGAATTGGGTGCAATGACAAAAATGACATTCCTATAATCACTCTGAGGCCACGAAATTTGAAATGAGTCAATTCCAACCCATGTTTTGTCTTTATATATCTTGTAGATTTCTCTATGAAATTTCTATCTGGTTTAGAGTTGAGTTAATGCATAATTACTATTATCACTCTTTGAGAGGGATGGCAATGGGTCGGGGTCGGGGGCGGATAGTGCATATCTGTTATCCAACCCGAAGTAGTTCCTGTTTTACCAGTATCCATACTCACGTAAGAAACGGGTAGAAAATCAAAACCATGCCCATAACCGTACGGGTTTCGGGTATCCACGATTATCCATGGGTAATAATTTCTCTTTATAACTTCAACCAATATATTAACATTCACACGTATTCTCACATTACATTAGAGGAAAAGTACGACAATAATTCACTAGAATGAAGAAACAATACAATTTCATGAAAATAGTATATTTATATGCTTAATGCAAATATAATAGAGTAAAATAATAATTATTTCTAGACAAAATACATATGCATGTGTATAATCGGGCGGGTTTGAGTTAGATAGTGAGAAAACCATGTCCACCCAGTACCCTCAATATTCGGGTTCGAATTTTACCCGTACCCACTAAAAATCCTTCGTATTCGAGTTTTACCCTACACGACTAAGTCGGATTCGGACGGATATCCACGATTACAAATATTTTTGCCACCCATACTCTTTGAATTAGGAGTTTTTTTATTCCAACCATGGCCCTTAACATTTTATTTTTCTGTAACAAGGCCCTCAACTTCCAAAAAATTTCTTACCTCTAAGTCGGATTCGGACGGATATCCACGATTACAAATATTTTTGCCACCCATACTCTTTGAATTAGGAGTTTTTTTATTCCAACCATGGCCCTTAACATTTTATTTTTCTGTAACAAGGCCCTCAACTTCCAAAAAATTTCTTACCTCTAACCTTGTTAGTTACTTCTCTCGGAAATACTCATTAACGTGGATAGAAAATGACCAAAATGATTTTTTGAGTCTTTTTTTTTTTTGTCATAGATAGATTATAATAGATAGAGTATTACAATGCGGTGGTAATGAAAAAGCGGTAGTCAACCATATGGGTTGCTACCGATGCAAGGGTCGTTTGTGCTACGCGATGGGCAGCCCTGTTAGTACTACAAAAACCAAACACAAAAGATACAAATGCAAAAGAGGTCTTGAGCAATTGCACTTCTTCAAACACCGCGCCACCGTGATCATGATTGACATCATTCGTACTTGCAAACCAAGGTCCGGTAACCTGTGAAACAAATGAAACCAATGCTACTTCCCACAAATTCATAGGTTAGACTACACAACTCAACAAAACACAATACCAATCTGCCTTACTTCCACTTGCTCCCCTAGCAATACAATTCAACGAAATAACCTAGCTAATGAATATTGAGTTAAACACCAATACGTTATCTAAGATGTAGAAAGAAAATAACATAAATATGCAAAGGCATAAAATTATGCAGTTTGAAGCTACAAAAAGAGGGGTCTTCTCTTCTCGGTGAAATTTTTTTTGATTAAAATTAAAAAATAAATAGATAAATAAGTAAAAACAATTGGGACTTTGGGAGGTGGGAAACGTGCCTGGCCACGAATAGCAGCGTGGGAATGTAAACTGCAAAGAAAAATGGAACCACCACCCAAAATTCTTGTTGTCGCCGAAAGGACTCGCCGCCAGCCAGAACTACTCGCTGTAGGAATCCAGATTACAACTCTTTTGAAACCCCTGCAAAAAAGGCAGAATCCACTGGAAAAAAATTGGATGGATGGAGGGAAAGGCATGGTCAACGACGCACGATGGCGTAGGCAGCAAACTGCTCGAGCGCACGATGGCGAGATAAAGAGAAATGCAGGTTCTCCTTCCAGAATCGATCTGTCAACACCGGCTTTCACCTCATCAACCCCATCGACGCCACTCTGTCCCCAGCTCTCCGCTCTTCGCCGTTCCATAGGTAGATCCACGCATTCAACAAGAAATTACACAGCAACTGCAAATCCCAGATTAATCATCGTAGATCTATAGTAATAGAATCGAAATCGGGACTCAAAAGGTTTAGAGAATTATAGGAGAAGATGAGACGGATGAGGCCCCGGGGAAGCCTAAGAAAGGAGTCGTCTCGTCGCCGATCACCGTCAACGCCCCTTTCTTGAGTCTTCCCACTCATGTGTTCTATTAATAAAAAAACTTGAATGATGTAATGTTAGGGGCACAGCCACACGAGTTTAATTTGGAGTTTTATTATTATTATTATTATAATAAAAGAACAAATAACCAAGTTATTATTGCATAGTGTTCCATCACAAAGGTGGTCTTTTGCAATTGATGAAATTTTGGGGCATTTGTGAGTTGTTTTTAGTAGTCAACCAGCACTATCACAAAGGTGCCTTTTTGCAATTGACCAAATTTTGGAGACATTTTTGGGGCCTTTGTGGGTTGTTTTTAGTAATTAACCAATGCTTGGAGGAGTTTTGTGCCATTAAGGTTCTAATTAATTAGCTTATGATAATTGAGTTCTAATTTGATCCGGTCACGGTGTTGCCAAATTTTGGGTCGAGAACGAATTATGCCGACTTTTGTAATTGGCGGACCCGTTTTTGTAATTGAGAGCTTGGTCGGCTGTGAATTTTGTTTAAAGCTCACCCCGCTTTATCAAGCCGGCCATAGCGAGTTGAATCCAGCGTTGATGAATTTTGAGTTGGAGATGAGTTTCACTTGCGTTTGTAATTGACGGGTTGGGTCAAGTGGTATCCCATCAACTATGATTTATTTATTACTAGTTATATGCCCGCGCTCCGCGCTGGGAAGCGTAAAATTTAAGTTTTTATTTGAAACCTCCAATTTTAAACGCGGTATATCGAGCACATATATTCCAAAAAATATATCTATTTTCCAAAGTATATAACTATTTTTGAGTTTATGTAAGTACATACGCAAGTATTACATAGAAACTGTAGTGTGAATTAGTACCCATAATTCACTTTGTGTAACCATGATTTTCCAAACTATAATTTTTTTAAAACCCTCACATTATTATTAGTATAACACACCAAGGTTCCAAACGGTTACTATATTAACTTGATGATTCAAAGCAATGACAACATTCGCAAAACTTCAGGTTCGACATTTCAGTGCTAGCGTTGACAATCAAAGTATAGTGTTCAATTTCTAACCCGAAGCATTTAAACGTGGAATAATATAAAATTCCATGGTTTTATTACATATATTCACAATTTCTCAAATAAAAAATGTTGATGCAATCTACAAATCGAACACTCCCTAGACAAGAAGTTCTAGATGTCCATGGAACCACCGAGTGCACTCTGTTTCTCCATAGGGATACACGCACTGGGAAAACATGGACTACTAATAAAAATCATCATGGAGAGCAATCTCAGTATGAAATTCACGAAAATATGTGAAACAAAACAAACAGATAAAGTTATGAATAAACCAATGTATCGCATACTCCGATCAATTGGTGCAAATTTCTTTTTACTTTTGACATGCAACAATAAAAATAATTGACTAGCAAGTTGAGAAACTCAATGAGTACACTGATAACCATCATTCTTCCTTTCTAACCCTATGAAAACATAAATTGAGGGGATTATTTATGTGTCTTCCGAAGACCTATTCGTTGTAGGCAACAAAGGAGAGCCCGAGGACAGTGACAATGTGCGCGGTTATTAACGCGTCGACTAACAATTGAGAAATGAGTAAAAAAACATGTTAGACTCATTGAAAATTATGAAAAAAGTCGATAATGATAAACATAAAGAAGGCGTAGAGGAATTTGACGCGATATAGCTGGAGAATGCCTTTCCAAAGTAGTTGGCAAGAAGAAAAAAAACAATGATATTTTTGGATTTATATGAAAATCAAAAGACAAATGCTAGTCTCTCTTCTAGTATTTGAAAAATATCATATTTACGATATTTGGAAAATAACACAACACAATTAACATATTTGTTTTTTTCCAAACCAAACATAACATTTCTACTAAATCCCACATTATGTGAGAATTATATACCAAAATACCACACCAGAATTTCCGTTCTAAATCACCCATAATATGATAATAAGGTAAGAAAAAGATCCATGCAGCCTCCACTTAAATATGAAGCTTTAGTCACTACTCACTAGCTAGTAGCTACCACATATATATAGAAAATAACAGTGATGGCAAAAAAGAGATGAATGAGTTGCTGGAAAGTTTTCATTCGTACGTACAAAATCCACCTTCCTTTTCTTTTAGCCCCACTGGTGCAGGTGCAGGTGCACTTGATAAAAAGGACAATAACAATTCTTCATTTTTCTATTCGCTGCTCACTGTCGACCTCACAGTAAAAAAAAAATAAAAAAAGACAGACTAACTGACTAAGAGACACTGACCCTAAAAGGCTAAAACTATACATGTACTTTAGTGACGCAAATACTACTACACGCTTTTGTACACGAACTTCCAATTAATGAGAAAATTAAACAATAAAACACGAGATTCAAGTTTCCTTCTAATTGCGATTATTTTGTCGTGCGTTGTTAGTTGTTACTTATTTGGATACCCCTGCCCACTATATTTTTAGTACGAATATGAATAATAATACTAATAAAAATTGGTAATGTCTATTTTGTATCCAAACCTTTTTCATATTCTTTTATACTATTCAAACCTATTAAAATTCTATTAATTACTAATTAGCCAAATCTTTCATATTGCATTAAAATATTAATCATTTTTACGTTATCGTTAATAATTTTGTAAAATGTTGACCTTCATGTGTCTATTTCAAGTCAGTATCATGTTGTCAAGTCAATATTACTAACAAAATTGCTAACTGAAAATTAACATTTGACTAAATCTTAGTATTTCGTTAAATTTGAATAGTATAAAAGAATCTAAAAATATTTGATGAAAAATAGACATTACCCAAAATAATGACATGTCCGGACATTTTATATGAATATGCACTATCCACGGGCGGACGATGTTGTCCTCCTCCATGTCCACACTTGGGAGGCCAATAATGCAAAGTCCACCTGTATTACATACAATTCAGAATTTCGCCGTAGGCCAAGCCATGCACTACCTTCGCCCCCCTAACAACCCCATAATAATAATAATAATAATAATAATAATAATAATAATAATAATAATAAACAATAATTGCTTGCACCCCATTATATTATATTATATTATATACACAACAACAAAACACTACATACATTTGCACCCAAAAAAAAAAAAAACCACTCTCCCTCCCTCCTATCCCTTTCCTTCAATTCAATGGGGTGGCCGTCGTGGCAATATTTCTACCTCATGCTTCCCCTCCTTGTGGCGATCGCGGCGGTGGTCTACGTTGTTCGCGAGAGGCTCATCATCGCCGCCGTCGACGGACGACGTCTAACAGTGGTGGTGGATGATGACAAAGTTGTTATAGTTCCTGGGACGGTAGTGAAGTACTGTAGGCGCCAAGACGATGACGATGGGAAATCACAAGAAAGCTGCGGCGGCGGCGGCGGTTGTGCGATATGCCTGGAGGAGTGGGAGGAAGGAGATGAGTGCAGAGTGCTGCCGGAGTGCAACCACAGGTACCATAAAGCTTGCATTGATGTCTGGCTGCTCACCGCCGCCGGTGACAATCACGGCTGCCCCATCTGCCGCTCTTGTGTTTTTTCCCACTAATAATTTTATGATGATGTTTATTTAGAAATTAAAGTGGCTGGCTGGCTGGCTGGCTGATATTTGTTCCCATCCTCTCCTCCCTAGCTACCTACTTGAATAGCTTGTTACTTGTAGACATGGACTAGCTAGCTCGGCGCATTGGCAAAGGAATTATGTGTTGTTTCTTCTTTCCACTTAATGTGGTATTTGTTGAGTTAAATAGTTTATGTATTCCAGTGGTAATGGAGTTTAAATATATAATATTTTGTTTGGCTAATTATTTTCATGTGGTATTGACAATAATAAATTAAAGAGGTAAAAGTTTCAAATAATTCGTTTTGACTTATTTTTAAATAAGTCATGGACCAAATAACTCATCTTTGTAAAATGTTGTCAAACGAGTTATTTGAACTCAAATAACTTATTGTGAGTTAAATTGGTCAAACTAACTCATCTTAAGACCTCATTCAACCAACCATGGCATAAAACCTTCAACGTTCTTTAGGTTTAATATAGATTTGGTCTGTAAAATCGTACCATCCTTATTATTAAAATAATAGTATATTGGTGAAAGAAATATATTCTAATGTTACCAAAATTATTGATTTAACTAGCATCATAAGCATAGGTTACAACATAGTTTGTAACTATATCTTTTGTACAAATTCTTTTCTGATACAAACTAAATTTGTACTTTTAACGTTATGGTACAAGTTCAATTTGTATCTCAAAGCATCCTTTAGAGCATAGTAGAAGATTCTATTACTCAATTTTATTTAGTTCTTTAGATATTGAATCTAAAAAATCCAACCTCGAAAGCAAAAGGATAAAAATATATATGTGCAAACCCATACATAGCCCCAAAACAAACGCTATGCCCCTTAATCCTAACTCACAAATAAAGCAACTAGATCCCTATAACTTTCAGTCTAACGCAAATAACAAAATTTCAAATCACAGCAACGGTAATCAAATTTCTTTGCTTATTTCATTATTGGAATCCAACTATCTACGTCACTCCACACATCCATGTGATATGTAATTGTCTGTTCTCTGACTAAAGGTTGGCAGGAACAGAAGAAAAGAAGCCCATTGAATTTTTGTTCTCCACTCTCCCAAATACACCCCACCCAATGGCCTCTGGCTCTTAGTCATCTCACCATCATGCACACAGTTCCATGGAAGAAGGAAAAAAAAATTAATACAGGCTTTGTCAACCATCTTAGACCACTGACAGCGGCTGGGCCTGGGGAAATAGGGGTTGGGGCGGAACTCCACTCAAAAGATGACAAAGAAGGTCCAACAGTTGAATTTGGTTTCCAACTGCGTCATAGCTTAAAAGACACAACTAGGGGATTGAAACCAAACTCATGACATTGGGTATCCGATTGTCTCCGACCCAATTAATGTGGGGAATCTCCGCTTTGTCGCAGAAAGGTTTATGGGAGATGGGGTGGTTATGGTTTTGGATTCCCCGCTCCATACCTATACTCAAACCCGTCCCACCAAGGATATTATGTTATATGCATAAAATATAAGGAGTCTATTGTAACTTGTCAAAAGAATGAAGGATAATTAAAAGAAAAAAAAAGTGTTAAAATGTAATTGATGGCATCCAAACCGTTATTTCATTCTCTTATGTATTAGTTCCATAATTTTGGGCGGGTAGTATCCATATTTGTCACCATTTTCTTTTATTAATGGTGAGTAGTTGATGGGGCAGGTATTACCCATGGGTATTCGAAAACCGCCGGTATGGGGATGGGTTTGTAAAACCTTCCACCGCACGGGTATAAGGAGAGTATGAGTTTGGGTATTTGAAAATAGGGATGTGGTTGGTTTTAGCAAACCCGCCCCATTGCTATCTGTAGACACAAGTAGGGATCGCAATTACCCACATAGGTAATTCTGCCCAAACCTAAATATGTAGATTCACTATGAGTACGGTATAAGTGAAGTGTATCTGGATTAGGGGTGTCTATTCGGGTTCGGTTTTTGGTTTTAACCGAAATCGAACCTATTAGATACATTGTTGAATTTTCAGGTTCGGGTTTGTTTCGGTTTTCGGGTTTTTCGGATACGCTTATCGATTTTCGGGTTTCGGTTGAAAGCCCTCAAGGAATAGTAGTTGACCCATATCCTTAGGGGTTCGGTTTTTAGGGTTTCGGTTTTGCTTTAACCGAACCCGGACCGATACCCAAAAACCAAAATTCCTTATTGATTTTGGGTTTGGTTTTCAATGATTTCGGGTTCATGTTTTCGGATTTCGGTTCCTGTAACCGAACCCAACCCAAACGGACACCCTTAATCTGGATTTAGGGGTTCGAAGATGGGTTTGGATAGAGTATGGATCTTGCTCACATAATCAAAATGCGAATGACTTGGGTATGGATACTTGAGTGTGTCTTAGCTACACATACAAAAATTGAACCTATTTTTAAAAAAAAACTTCAAAAGTTTGGGTATCAAAATGTAATGCACAAATTTTTAGATACTTTATGTAATTTTCCATCTACATTTTGAGGTCTTATATGAAAAGTATTAAATCCAAATATCTATTAAGTGTAGATATCAACCTGTGATTTACAAATAGTTATGGATATAAATCCAAATCCATTGATTAAAAACTCAGATCTACCCAAATAAATGTGTAGGAGTACGAACCCATCAAATTTTACCCATTTACTATCTACTAGATTTCATATCGAACCCAATTGAATTGGATAGTAAAATACTCACACATTTGTCCGTCACAAGTATGCCGTACACACCATTTTGTTTAGAATACCATTAATCCGTCACGTTAGAAATCGAACTTACGACTTCTCGATAGAAAGACAAACGACCTACCAGCTAGCGAAACCTGGGCTGGAAGAGGGCATTACAGGGAATGCGACAAAAGGCCAGAAAAAGAAGCTTCGTCGAACGCTTACCAACAAAAAGTACCTCAACGAGGTGGCCTATCATATCATATATATCATTTAACGCTTATAACATTTGAACGAATAATATATGAATATGGATTGACACTTACAACTACTCCTTTCGTACTCTTCTCCATTCTCTTTTGCCTTTGCTTTTCTTCTTCTTGTTCTGGTATTGTGTTATTTTCTCTTCGACCCTTTTTCCCATCTCCAAACAGTCCCCAACTGTTTAAAATTGCCAAACGAAACAAAAAAGATTGGGAAGGAACTCCAGGAAGAAAATAATAACTCAAACATTCCTTTCCCACTGAGGCATCAATCATCCAGCAGCAGCAGCAGCAGAATGAATCTCTAAGCTTCAACTTCAGCTCTTCTCCCCAAGTCGGGCAAAGGACATATTTGCCTTTATATCCCATCAACTGTGGTTGTACCAGGGTCCGACTCCGCCATTCACGTGACCATTACCGTGGATGCCAACGCCATTAGGGATGAGCTGAGGGGGCAGTCCCAAGGCCATGGGAGGCGGTGCAGCCGCAAATAAACCGTGACTGTGAGGGATTGTATGTGGGCTCACGAGTGGACTGGCTACAGGGCTGCCCTTGCGTTGTTGTTGGAGACCGTGAATCTGCCTCAGTCCTTCTTCGTGGATACGCGCGAGAGTCTCGAGCTCCTTCATCGACAGAGCATCCAGACCAGCACCATATAGAGGGGCGTGTCTCGACATTTCCTCCTGTAGTGACGCCTCAAGGCTGTGGATGTATTGCTGCAGACAGAAACAAAGAAAGTAAGGGCACAGAGAGTTTCAAGCTACAACTATTGATGGATGGCAGAGGGTACTGTTGAGCCGTGTAAAAACAGTAACTAACCTGGCAAGCCTGCAATTTAGATTCCATCCCATCGATATATGCCTCGCATCGGGCAACCTGCTCCTCTTTCTCCCTCTTTTCTCCTTCCGTTTGTCCAACCGTTTGTGTCAGTCTTCGGACCTCATCCTCCAACGATTGACGGATTTCCTCCCGTGTGACATTCTCAGTGGCATATCTTTTCAGTTCTTCATCGAACCTTTTCCGCGCAGCCTCAGCACTCTTCAGTCTTTCAGCAAGAGCATTTTTCTCCTTCACTACTCTCTATCATGGGAGAGGAATGCCGAGAAGAGACGTTTGGAGATCAATATTCCATCACGAGCTGTGAAAGAGCCAACAAATGAAATGGAATGCAAATAATACCTACCTTCAGTTCATCCCTTTTTCGGGACTTCAACTGGGAGAGTTGAGACTCAGCATCGTGGAGACGATCCTGAAGAGATTTCTTCTCCGATGTCAGCTTTCTAATTTCGTCATCACGCTCCGACCGTATCCACTCGAGTTGACTTTCAACTTCTTGTACTTGTTCAGAAAGCTCCTTCTTCTCCCGCCCAAAACGATCCAGCTCAGCCCTCATCTCAGACTGTCAACAATTAATACGAGAAACTCAGGGATTTGTCTTAGTGTACTGAGACCATATGACAATACAAACAGCTTTTACCTTGAGTCTATTGCTAGTTGCCTCTGCCTCGCTCAATTTATGGGAAAGCGCTGTCTTCTCACGAACCATATTACCTATTTCTGTCTTCCTCTCTTCCCTCAACCGAATGATTTCATCTTCACTGGCACATAATTGATGCCAAAGGGCAGCTCGGTCTACATTTGCAAGTTCAGCAACCTCCCGCATCATCCCTAGAACAGGCTTCACAATTTCTTGATCTTCACAAACTAAGATACCCAACACATCCAAGTCTAGATCTGCATCCCGGCTACTGTCCGATGTACTGGTAGCACGATCAACTAGTCTCTTAAGCATTCTCCCTCTATAAGACTCATCTGCATACCACTTGAACAATATTGTGTATAGAATCTTCACAAAACCCTTAACACACACGTCACTGGAAAGGGCCAAAATCTCAGCAAGACCAAGGACAACATTGAAATCGTCACGCTGGATATGCTGTTCACTGGCTTCCCCTCCTGATACAGCAGCCTCGGAGTGCTGGGAGCTTTCAGCTGCAAATTGAGCAGTGAAATTGAGCCTCTGAGCAAGCCGCCTCTCTAAGACCATTGCTACACTCTGAGCAATAATCGCTCCTCGAGCTACAGCTCTCTCAAAT